TGCACTTACTACTGCTATTGAGCACGTTCCGGAACGCGTGGCATTCACGTGTGCCCGCGGCCTTTTTCGATGCGAGGCTGGCGTGACACACACGGTGTGTCACGCGGACACACGGGGTTTCACTCGCTGTTTTTTTTTCTCGCTGATTATTTCACTCTGAACACTTGTACTCAGGGGTTTCACATCCCAATCACGAATATGACAATCATTTTTGGCGCCGGCGCCATTTGGCGCTATGATCGTTAGCGAAATTGATGTAACTAACTAACTAGAGACCTCGCCCACCTCCGAATGCATATTTATATCGATTCCGGTGAAAGATGTCATAACGCCAAACTGCGGCAGCTTCAAGAACGTATGTTCACTTTTGAGGTCAGGATCCTTTATCACCCCGCAAACGCAGGTTTTTTTTGAAATGAATTTCGTGAGAAAGGGCGCAGCGCCAAACTGGCGCCAAATGGAGCGGACGCTATAAGAGTGTGTAATAATCACGATCGGGACACCGAATGGCCTCAGTAGATCAGTCTATCAGCAAATTGTTCTGGGTGCGATGCATTTCTAGAGCATGATGGTTTTATGAATTGGTTACACTTAGAAAAAATGTTTCCACAAATACATTTCTAGAACATGATGGTTTTATGAATTGGTTACACTTAGAAAAAATGTTTTACAAATAATCTACCAGAGCTTTTCATGGCCCAACCAACCATATGCAGGAATTCGTACCCCTATAGGGATATATAACAACTCAAAGAATTGCGCAACAGTCAAAACATAGGGAAATTTTAGCTTCTGAAGATCGTGACACACCATGTGTGTCACGCGGCCACAGGGAGCAGACAAGTGTGACACACCATGTGTGTCCATGCGGTCCGGAATGTGTTAATTCACCCTCATAAGTAATACACCACCAGTTACGAGTTACCCTACTTTCTGGGGTATAGTCCTCATCATTGCGGACCGGTGGGGCGTGGCAGTGCGGCTGCGTTTGGTGCGGTTTGGCAAAGTCGTTCTGCACCAGTTTTTGAAGCGGGCAAGTGCATTACTGTATTATATCCTTCGTATTACTCGTTTTCTACCACTTTTTGTCGCATACGCGTTGCAACAAAAAAGGCTGAGAACGGCTTCAACAGTGTGCGCACTCCTTCTGGCTGACACGCCCCACCGGTCCGCAATGATGAGAACTGTATCTGCGCATCAGTGGGTAGAGCGCACCTCCGTCTCGATCGTCGCTAAGCTCTCCTCCTCGCTTCACCTTTCCTTGTTTTTATTTTATTCGTTCAAATTTGTGTGAGTGATCCACTGCAAGTGAAAAGGAGGTTGAAACCTGATTAGGAGATCTAGATTCCGCCCCCTTGTCGCCTGCGACTGCGACCTTGCCGGGAAATGCTTTTTATATCCCAGAAAGTAGGCTACTACATCTTCAAGTAAAGTAGCAGGTTGACACGTTCCGTAACTATAGGAATTCGGAATGAATTTGTATTTATGTGTGAAAATGTTTATGTTCCTCATTTCAGAAGTCTGTAATCAATACGATTATAATCGCTTCCAGCAAGTTCCGCATAATTTTTCTGAAGCTTTTAGGGCTGCTCAATGCATGCGACGATTTCCTTTTACCAGTGTTTTAACGATGTCACGTTTATGAAATCGGTGCCAAATATATCTACGAGTGTGGAGGATGTGGCCAAAAGTGAGTATTCGGAAATTATTGCTGACGTATTACCCTAGTATTGCTCTTAACATGGCGGATTTCGAGATATGTATATAACCAAACTGGCGATGGTGCCGATACTGCGAGACGTACCATGTTACTTTGCATGTAATGGTGGGATGAGACACTATGATAAGAAGTTCCACCGCTTTACCCTGTGCAGTCAAGAGACAGTTTACTAGTTGTCCCGAGAGTGCTGACTCATGAATACTAGCCTTGACCCCGGGCGAGACCTGAATCCCCACATCACGCTTTCCGGATTGTGTTATCCGTTGCACCACCAGGAATGTCTCTTACATACTCAGCTTGGCAGTTTTCCTGTCGTAGCTTTACGACGCTCGCACATTTATCGTGCGAGCCACTCAGCCATGATTTAATTATTGAAGGTTTCACGAGAAATGATAATTTTGCGCTTGTAAGCCATTTCGTGGGTTCGTGGTCCGTTCCTTCGTATACAAGGAACATTCGAAAGCGCTTGGTAGATCGCCAATGACCTGTGACTTCAGTCTAGCCACGCCTTCTATGGTGCCACCACCCTCATGTCACCATGCGAGGGCTGTTTCAAAGTATTCTTGATATGGGGTTATTCAGCACTGAA